ATACTAATTGTTTCCTTTATTGTGTCATTTACAATAGCTAAGAGACCCAAGCAACCTTTCTTCAGAATTCGTTGAGACTTCATAAAATATACAACTTTGCAAGTCTTTGGAACCTGATCCCCTTTTAGAATAAAACTGGGTTCGTTTGATATCTTAAACTTAACTATCTTTGCATGAAAATCGAAGATAGCATAGCAAGAAGACAACCAATCCATTCCCATCAAGCATGTGAAACTCAATCATATCAAGTACAATAAGGTCAGCTAGAGTATCTTTACCCTCAACCCGAATCTGACAAGCACGATACACGTACTCATCTAATAGAGACTCTCCAACAGGAGTGGCAACTAGAAAAGGATCATTCAATAGCTCGGGCTGTCTACTAAACCTCAAAGCAAAGTACGAGGACACATAGGAGTGAGTAGATCACGGATCAATCAACGCAAGTACATCAAATGAACAGACAGAAAGAATACCTGTAACCACAATATTCGAGGCCTGAGCATCCTGTCTAGTAAATGCAAAAACTCTCGCCTGACCTCTACCAGTATTCCCTTGCCCTTGATTCACAATAGCACGATCTCCAGCACCTCGACCTCTATTTCTTGTACCTGTAGCACCTGAAATATTACTAGTAGTCTGAGTAGGTGCAGCTGGCTGGATAGAAGCTTGGCTGAAATTCCTCGGAGGCTGAGGGCAATCCCTCAAGTGATGTCCTAACTGACCACACTGAAAACACTCTCTAGTCAGAACACGACACTGGCCCAAATGTGATCTACCACAGGTCTGGCATACTGGAGTGGTGGCATATATCTGCCCAGAATTATGATGTCCGGATGATGATGGTCCCCCAGTACCCTATTTGTAATGTGGTCTGTGAAGACAAGTGTGTACCTATATGAGAACCCTGTTGGTGATGTCCTTGACTTCCTACTCTACGATTTTCACTAAAACCTCCATTGAAAGATCCTCTTGTCTTGGCCTTCTTACGTAATTCACTAGTTGCACGCTCATCACGTACCTTATTTTAAATCTTTCTAGCAAGATCGACTGCATCAGTGTAGGACAAAGTCTTTATCTGTGGGGCTCCTGCAGTGTATAGATGACCAACCAACCCATCAATAAACCTCTGAAGTCGAGCTTCATGGGTAGGCACTAAGTAAGGAGCATATCTGGCCAGATTACAAAACTTCATGTTGTAGGTTGACACATCCATATCTGGAGTCTGAACCAATCTCTTAAAGTCTCTAGCATATTTTTGCCTCAGGCTATCTGGAAGAAAATGATCCATAAACAACTTACTGAACCCGTCCCATGTTAGTGGGGCTGCTCCTACTGGCCTTCCTAGCAATATAATTTCATACCATGTGTTAGCCATATCCTCTAGTTTGTATATTGCGAGCTCCACGACCCTCTCACTAGAACATCCTAGAGCATGCAATGCCTTGAGTGTCCCATCCAAGAAACTTTGAGGATCTACTGAATTGTCAGAACCTGTGAATTTTGGTGATTTTAATTTCAGGAACTCTTGTAGGGATACTTTCTTACTCCCGAAAGTCTGAGTCTGTGCAGGTGCTTGTGTCTGTAAAGTAGCCTGAGGAGCTGAACTTCCACCCTGAGTAGGCACCAGTGCCTCTATCACATTCAATAACCTTGCCACTGCGTCTGCAGGTACGGCAACAGTAAGTACAACAGTTGGCACTGGTGATGGAGCATCATGAACTCCCTGTTCTTGCACTTGATCTGGCATAGTAGCTTGGGGTTGACTTATGTTTCCAACTTCAGGTTCAGGAGCATCCTATCTTCTAGTTTTATGAACCCCAACTTGACCGCCACCCCGGGTAGTACCACGTCCAGCACCACGTCCAGCAGATGAGGGTATGCGTGTCCTAACCATCAGCGAAAGAAATACTCCAAATTCAATCACAAGTTATCTCAACGCATGATCAAAGAATAAAAGAAAGGAAAACATTCCTAGATGGTCAGTAGCCTCAAGATCATAAGTATGGGCGCCTACATAACCATGAACAAGACTCTACTAAACATTGCTCCATGACTCGGGACTTAAAGCCTAATCTCTAATACCAACTTTGTCACGACCCAATTTAGGATCATGACCGGCACTAAGGAGCAACTGCCTCCAAGTAAGCCTCATCGGTATTTTACAGAAAATCGGACAGAGTTTTTCCTATTTTTAGACTATCCCAAAAAATTTCCTATGTCAAATCAACAACCAAACACCCTAATATCAATCCAAACAACAATAACTTTATCAATTAACCCGAACAAATATTTACCATTAATAGTCCACCCACTTACAGCTAGAAATACTAATTTATCTCCAACTTTGATAATAAAGAGCGATACCCAACATAAGTCTATAATAATAAACGAATACTCATGACACTAAAAGAATTACTATGGAGCGACTGTAAGAGTTCAAAGAAAAGACCATAACAATAAATAAAATCTTCGCCCACGCGAACAAATGCGAGGCTCACCAAGAACTATCAACCTGTGCGCTCTAATTAATGAAATCCTCGCCCGCATCAACTGTTATCTCTGTAAAAATAATTAGCGGGGAATGAGTTGCTAGCTCAGTGAGTAATAACACTTAACCACAACCATTTTTATTAGGGGCATATCAGAAAATATGCTAGTATATTAAACAAAAATATCATAAGAATGCCCTTTCAGAAACAATAAATAATTTTCATTCTTCTCATGTTTTTCATGTAATATAATTCAATTGACAATTCAGTAATAAGCTCGGTAGACACTGTATAATATCAATATTCATATTTGGGAGGTTTCAATGAACGGATTATGTAATCGGTATAAATTTGTACTTCTTCGCAAGAAGTCAAATATAACGGTAGTCCCTACTCGAGGAAAATCAGTAACGGTATGCTAGTTCTACCTTTCCACTAGCGAGGGCTATAACGGTAATCGGTAATTACAAAGTGCACCAGGTCTAACGAACCCGCCGTTAGCTACGGGATCCTTCAATGTCTACTCCCATTTATACTTGTCTCTGTAATCCGTATATACTCGTAGAAAATATGTTAAAATAATATAGGGCATTTCGGTTCTTATCAAATCATAAAATTTTATTTCGATAACAGTAAATTCAAGTAACGGTAAAACAGATCTAGTGACATCAGGAATATTAAAAATAACGAAAATCATCTCAAATTACTATTTAGGTATCATATCGAGTAAAAGACTTGTCCCGCATGCAATTCAAAATAATCGGTAATATATTCATATTAAAAATCATGTGTAAATAATACAAGTTATGAAAATACAAATTGCGGTAAGATTACTACTCACAATACTCCTATCGAGATACCAAACACTTCACCTCGAGCAATTCGTATACCTTCCTTCAATCAATCTTTAACCACATCAACATCGATCTCGTGTTAATTGCCTCATTTAGGCTAAATTCATTACGAATTTAGAATACTCAATCCTCCGAGTCTTATATTTTATCATCAATTCGCCGAATTATATTGACACATGCTATGAGTAATTTAAATTAGTCCAAAATCTTTTAAATAAAAAGGTATTTATGTAGTTTATTCCCTGTACTGTTCAATTTCCTTAATTGTGTGCATAAGTTGAAACTGAAATAATATTATTGTCCATAATATTCCTTCTTAATTGGTACTTATCTTTTGTACTCAATACTAGACTTACCACATTCAAAGTCAAATTCAATATTATCCATTGCAATACAATTAAACACCAAAACTCAATCCTTGAACCTTAACTTAATTTACACCTAACAAAGCATATATAATGAGATTAGTTTAAGTACAAATATATCAATACCCTTCTTTTTCCAAGTGAATTTATCCTACCGTAGCATTGAGCCAATTTCTAATTGCACAATTTTCCCAGAATAACTCTTATTGGTATTAAATTTTTTATACCTTGTGAAACCCTTCAAATATATAAACTGAGATAAAAAGAATTACCAGAAGAAAAGAACCCAAATGAGAAATTCAAGTATTACCCGTAAGAGCCAGAACATATTTAAAATTTCTCAAAGGTTTGGTTCCAGCCTCTTTCTTCTTCTTCTCCTTTGTTTCCTCCTCTTATGTTTTTTTTTTCTTTCTTTCTTAGTGTTTAGCTTCTGTTGTTTAGCAGCAGCTTTGCTGCGTCCCTTTTTTCCTTTTCTCGTTTCTCTTTCCGGTGAGCTTTAGACCATTCTCCTATTATCTCTCTGTTTTTTTTAAATTCTAGTTAAAGATTTATATGCCCTTATTAATATATAGGGTATTACAACTGCCTATCATATTTCAATCATTTTTGGAATCTTCTACGAAAGAATTTTCTTCCAACCATATATACACACCACGTATAAGGACAAAATTATATTTTTACTATATATATGGACGAAGTTAGAGGGGCAGAAAGGGTTATCCTGATTTCCGTCGCCAAATATTCACAATGTATATATATAATAATTTTTGTATGTATATTTAATAGATGTTACGTACACCCTCTTAATGAAAATTTTGCTTCTGGCTGCCAATGATCATGAGTCCTCAAAGATCAGATGTTGTACTCTTAATTCGCATTATAAAAATTCTACGTCCCAATTTACATAAAGAATTAAGCAGTTTGACCCTTGTACTCTGAAAATATTCACATAAACTAGAACAGTAGGAATAATTGGAAAAGGTTGCCTAATATATCTTCCATGTTGCCAAAAGATCACCTCTATATACAAAGTACGACTACAAAGTAAAGCATTCCTACATATTCTAATGTTCTTTAGGCATGGTTAAAATAAGTGTGGGCTTAGACCAGAATTTGCTGGACTGCATATTGCACAGCTCGATCTTACTTCTGCCATTAAATTTGTTTCTGTCGCCAACTGCAATAAGGTCCACTGCTATTATTACACGACATATTTTTTCCCATTATATGTACATAAATGGCTCAAAGCTCATGAATATCTCAACTGTTTTTCCAAATATTTAGCCACAATGAGTTCTGTTTGCAACTTTGTCCAGCCTGTTATTCTCTTCTTGCCCATTCTTCTTATTATCATTTCCGAAAGTAGAGCTCAAGCTCAAACATTGACTGATAATAAAATTTTACAAAAATGGCCATTCAACAATTCAGTTTCAGTTGTTTTGGTGTTCGGAGACTCTACAGTTGATTCCGGCAATAACAACTACATAAGCACGATTTCTAAGTGCGATTTCTCACCCTATGGAATGGATTTTCTGAACCACATTCCCACAGGAAGGTTCTCCAATGGCCGCCTCGTCACAGATTATATTGGTAAGACTGTTAGTGTATATAACTTAAATCCTTATGTTATGTATGCAGATAGTGTACCAGTTTTTTATATTATCAGTATAGTTTAACATGTTATACATAGTAGTAGTTATTATTTTTACCAAGTCACTGTTAAGTGATATAATTACGTAAATATTTACTGTCTATGCATAGAATTAATCTCTTTTTTTAGTTTAACTTCTACAAAACTAATAGTGTACTATTGGGTTATTTAAAAGTAAATACTGATCACTACTATAATAAATGCAAGCGGAAGAGTTTAAGTTCTATATATGTATTGACCTAAGTAATATTCATACTTTTAGGTCACTTGAAAATTTATTGCACGTAATAACTCTATTTAACAGCATTTGTTGGTGATAAGTAACCTATTATAATAGGTAAGTAATGATGTAAAATAATTGTTACACTATCAATATATATAACTTCAATCCTAAAGAATTAGTAATTTGAAAAATATAGCAAGTTAAATTATACGAATAATGTAAAATTTTCTCTTTCAAGTGAATATGTAAATCTTTTTTTTTTATTTATATTTTGCTGTCTATTTTGTAACAGTCTCGTACATGGGAATCAAAGATTTCGTGCCAGCCTATTTGGACCCGAGTCTTAGCTTGGACGAGCTCATGACCGGAGTTAGTTTCGCCTCCGGTGGCTCTGGCTTCGACCCTCTCACTGCTCAACTTAGCGTGCGTCTTTCTCTCTCTTATTGAAAATTGTCCACTGTTAGCAGTGGGAAGCCAGTATATATATATACATATAAAAGAAATTTGATATATTTTACACAATATAATTTTCCAGCAAAGGAATGTTAATTGACCCCCCTTGTATAATAGTAGCTCCGCCACTGATTTGTTAGACTTGTAATAGGTATATATTGTGGTTAAATTGAGTTCTATAATTTCTATGGCTCAGGTTAATAATTGCCGATATCAAAAGAAGAAGAAGAAGACTAAGGGTTTCATAACATTTTCCGATCTCACTAGACCTAATTTAGTCGGAACAGAAATTTTTTAAGAAAAAACAGACGCATTATAAACGCTGAAAAAGATAATGTTTTCCTATTTCAACTTGTTGTAACAGGTTATTAGCGTTATTTTTCATCTCACGAAATATTAATAAGATTGTGATTTGACAATGGCAGGGCGTAATTCCATTACAAAAGCAGCTGGAATATTTCAAAGAATATAAAAGGAGACTTGAAAATGCAATAGGGAAAGAAAAGACAAATTTGCTAATAAGCAAAGCAACATTTATTATAAGTGCAGGGACAAATGACTTCGTTGTAAACTATTTTAATACCCCATTTCGAAGACAAAACTATAAGGTCTCTGCCTACCAGCAATTCTTGGTGCAATTGGTGCAACAATTTGTCCAGGTACGTCTTTTTCACATATATTAATGCCATGTGATTGTTCTAAGTTTGAAAAAGTTATTAATATTTTTATATTTACACAAGTCATTTTTAAAATACTTTTTATAAAAATTATGCAAAAAACAATTCACGGGGATATTGTACTTTGAATCAGTCTTAGCTTTTTGGCACAGATAATAATTTGGAGACCAAATATTTATAATGATAATTTATGAAGTGAGGAAGGATTGTGTCAGGTGTAAGGTGTTGCTACTTAATTAAATGTTATTGGAGACATCGACACGACCCTTTGCACTAGGCTTTTCCTTTTTTGCTTCTTTTTTCCCATAACATCCTTTAAAACACTTGAGAATGGTCAACTTTGTGTTTTTTTACATTGGATCTGCAATTACATTAAAGTTTTTTTTATCGGTCACGAAAAATTAATACAAGTCGATAAATTGTCATTCAATTATTGAGTTCACTATCGACCTCAAATTTGGCACAATTTAAATAAAAAAATGTCTAATAAAGTTATTTTCCTAAAACGCTAAATTTGTCTGGCCTGGTCGCCTTGATTGTTTTCAAACAAATCTAATGTTAGACCAAGTCTTGTCTGCCGATAATAGTTGAAAGCCAAACGGGTAACAGGGAGAGGAGATTAACATATGGTAACTTTACTTGACCTTTAAATAGTGCATCTATGCCGTGAGGTTGACAAGAGAGAGTTGCTTATGTGCTAATTAAGCACCATCCACTTCTAACTCTAAGATTACGGGTTTGAGTTTACAAGGGAGCAAAGTGAAAAGCTCTTGGAGTGGAGTTTGAGGTCAAAACGTGGGTTTGCGAGTGGGGCAGTGCCCATTCTCCCTGTTGATCTTAAGTTTTAAACTGGTTTGTATTCCATAAAGTGTCACTAGTCCAAGCAGTGGCGAATACAATCTTGTGCTGCTGATTTAACCGAATCTAGTATTTTCATTATAAAATTCAAACGGTTTCAATTTAATGTATTTGATATATAAGTTGTATTAATAAACTTTATGTTAATTGCTAGGGTTTGATGAACGAGGGAGCTCGAACAATCGGCGTCGTCGGAGTTCCGCCATTCGGGTGCTTGCCGGTGGTCATCACGCTGAATTCCGGCGGTGCACTTCAACCCCGCCAATGTGTTGAGTCGTACTCTGCCGTTGGTAGAGAGTACAATTTGCTTCTTCAACATTTGCTAAAGACTATGCAAATTCATGACACAAAACTATTCTACTTCGATATCTACAATCCTTTAAACGACATGATAAGAAATCCAACTAAATATGGTGAGCGCCAAAAACTTTTGCATTTTCGATTTACTAACTAATTAAATACACTGATAGTATAAAGATTGTTTATACGCACTAACAATGTATCAATTTAACTACTCGCAGTTCTTAATCATGAAGTTACTACTTCCACTTATTATAAATAGCTATATATGGGGTGGATATAAAGTATAAGCTTCAGGTTCATCTAAACTCATTAGACATGATGTAGATGTGGTTCGGGGTATGTATATGTGTTAAAAAATCATTTAGTAAATGCAATATAATTAATTTTGCACATAGTAGATCGAATGAGTTGGTGGTATATAAAATCATGAACCAACAATAACAGATTCAGTATAATCATACAAATAGAGTCTGGAGAGGGTAGTGTGTACGTAGACTCAACCCTACCTTGTGAAGGTAGAAAGGCTATTTCCGACAGACCTTCGGTTCAGTAAAATCCTGAACGGAACACGTAAAATTCAAATCTTGAATCCGCCTTCAATTACATAAAATTTGACGTTATAGTGTAAAAAATCTTTTATATGTCGACTCTTCTTTCTTTTTTTTCCTTTTTTTTTTCCAAGTATATTTCATTTGTTTCATTTTGGTCCATCCAACTTTTCCTAATTAAGAACATGGATGCTAACATTTTTGTAGGTTTTACTGAAGTTACAACGGGCTGTTGTGGAAGTGGATTTATTGAAGCTTCAATCCTCTGCAATCCAAAGTCAATTGTTTGCAATAATCCTTCACAACATATGTTTTGGGATTCAGTCCACCCAAGTCAAGTTACTTATCACAGTTTGTTCCAGGCCTTGCGTCCTACACTTGATTTTGCAATCAAGCAATAAATAATATTTTTGTGAAGAATTAGAAAAGAGAAAACAAGTGATTGGAAATTTTTCTGAAACATGTATTTCCAATTTTGGATGATTATGGTTGACATACTAATTTCTGATTCTTCTCTCTTTTGTTTCCTTTATTTATTTCCTCCTTTGTAATTTTATGGAATTTATTGCTCACAATGAAATCCTGAAGTAGATAAGTAATAAATACTTGCTCCGCAACTTTAAAGTTTTTGATCTCCTCATTGAAGTTAGGTCCCATATAAGATGGCAAAAATTGGATAATATATGGTTTAGAGGTCAGACAACTAAATTTTACACGAAGGTGAAATTTGTATATCATTGAATAAGACGAAGTATCTTTAAAAATTATCTTTACCCTAAGTTATATCAAACATTAACATATCATAGTTATAAAAGAAATTAACGGGGGTAAAACTTAATCTCTCATAGTTCCAAATTAAAGAAAAAAAATCCAAAAATAGTGTAACGACCCGGCCGGTCGTTTTGAGTATTATAATCCCATTCCCCCATTTACTGCTCAAATTATGCTTTAAAATTATTTTATGACTTACCAGGTTAGTTGGTTCGGGTCCGGGAGGATTTCGGAGTGAAATGAGACACTTAACCTCTTAATTGAAAACTTAAATTGGAAAATTGGCAGGATATTGATTTATGTGTAAACGACCTCGGAATTTAATTCTGACGATTCCAACAGCTCCGTATGGTGATTTTGGACTTAGGAGCGTGTCCGAAAAATTATTTGGAGGTCCGTAGTGGAATTAGGCTTGAAATGGCGAAAGTCAATTTTTTGGAAAGTTTGACCGGGGGATTAATTTTTTGATATCGGGGTCAAAATCCGATTCTGAAAATTTTAATAGGTTTGTTATGTCATTTATGACCTGTGTGCAAAATTTAAGATCAATCGGATTTGGTTTGATAGGTTCCGGCGTCGTTTGCGAAAACTTGAAATTTCAAAGTTCATTAGGCTTGAATTGGGGTATGATTCGGGGTTTTAGCGTTGTTTTATGTAATTTGAGGGTTCGACTAAGTTCGTATGATATTTTAGAAATAGTTGGTATATTTGGCTGGGGTCCCGAGGGGCTCGGGTGTATTTCGGATGGTATTCGAATTATTTTCCTTCATTTTGGCACTACTGGTAGCTATTGTTTGCTGGTGTTTCAGACCTTCTTCGCGATCGCGAAGATTAGGACGCGAAGGCTTAGTTGAGGCAGTGTTGATTTTGTTCTTCGCAATCGCGTGAGGTCAACCGCGATCGCGTAGGTTGGGCTAGTCTGTGCTACGCGAACGCATAGAAGAGGCCGCGATTGCGTAGGGGAAACTTGAGAGGAAGCTGGGCCACGCATTTGCTCTATGCGATCGGGTGAAGAGGGATGCGATCATGTAGAGCTGGAATCTTGTGCATCGCAATCGCGTGTGATTGTTCGCGATCGCGTAGAGTTAAACCTGGGCAGTGAAAAACTGTTCTTCGCGATCGCGTGTGATTGTTCGCGATCGTGTAGAGCAAATGACTGGGCAGAAAGTTTAAGTTCTGAAAATGGGACTTCGTCCCATTTTCCATTTTTGACGGATTAGAGGTCGAGAAGAGGCGATTTTTGGGAGATGTTCAGAAGAAATAACAGGGTAAGTGTTCTTAACTCAATATTGGTTAAATTACTCGAATCCATGGTTATTTTTAACATTTAATTGGTGAATTTTGTTGGAAAATTATGAAAACCCTCTTGGTTTAATTTGAAGATTTAAGGGTAGAGTTGATGTCGGATTTGAGTAAAATTTATGTGGTCGGACTCGTGGTTGAATGGGCGATCATATTTTATAACTTTTGTCGGGGTCCGAGACGTGGGCCCCACGGCGACTTTTGAGCTAAATTTCGTATTTTGTTGGAAAATTAGTATTTTCTTATGGAATTAATTCCAATAAATTTTATTGACTAAATCGAATTATTTGTGGCTAGATTCGAGGTGTTTGGAGGCCAATTCACGAGGAAAAGACATTGCAGAATAAAGAATTATACGGCTTGAAGTAAGTAACAGTTTTAAATTTGGTCCTGAGGGTATGAAACCCCGAAATATGTATTGTGTGATTGGTTTTGAGGTGACGCACCTGCTAGGTGATGGGTGTGTGGGCGTGCACCGTAGGAATTATGACTTGGTCAAATTTCATGGGACTGTGTAGTTGAATTATCTATTGATATCCGTACATTCTCTGCGTGTTAAGGAAAAATGGAGCTGAGACTCGTATTAAAAATTATGCTTAGACATATGCTGTTATTATTGGTATCCATTGGGGTTATTTCTATGGTTGAATTATCTGTTCAAATTGTAATTTCACACTCAGTCATATTTATTCATTTCACATCATATCTCAGTCTTTGTTACTATTTATTGATGCATCATATTATCATTTGGGGCTGATTTTTATGACACCTTGAGCCCGAGAGACTGGAGAGGTTGATGACTGAGTGAGGCCGAGGGCCTAATTTTGAGGATATTTATGGATCGGGTTGCACGCCGCAATATATTTTTATTGATTTATTCCATGATTGGATTGATATAGCACTTGGGTTGAAGGATCCCCTCCAGAGTTTGTACACACCTCAATGAGCGCCGGCACCTACAGAGTACAAGTGCCGAGTGAGAGTGATGAGTGACTGTAACGAATGAGTGACTGCGAGGAAAGAGTGACTGTGAGGTTGGAGTGAATGGGAGGACTGAGTGACTGTTACTCTGAGAGGATGCATTGATTTCATTATTTGCTGCATTTCAGCTGTCATATATCACTATTTTGGAAATTTCGGAAATACATTATTTTTTGTTTCGGTCAAACTTGATATGAAATTTCAGTGAAATCTTAAATGTTGAACTTGAGAGCATGCCTACTCTTTTATATTGGAAAGTACTGTATTTGGACTTAGTTGAGAAACTCGTCACTACTTTCAGTTATTTATTTATTATTGTTAGTTACTGAGTTAGTTGTACTCATACTATACCATGCACTTCGTGTGCAGATCCAAGTGATCTCGGATACAGTGGGTGTTGATTCTTGCACACAGTTAAATTTTCAGAGATTCAGAGGTAGCTGTTATGTTTCGCAGACCTTGTTTCTCCTTCCTTATCCTTTTGTTTATTGTATTTGGTCTCAGATTATTGTAGATCACGTTTTTCAGACTTGTAATGTATAGATGCTCATGTACTCAGTGACACCATAGTTTTGGGTATGTGTGTGTGTATCGGTATTTGCGAGACTTGTGGATTGTGGTTAAATATTATATTTTCAAACTTAAAAGAAATTGTGGTTTATTAAGGTTGTCGTCTTGCCTAGTATCAAGATAGGCGCCATCACAACATGTTAGGATTTTGGGTCATGACAAGTTGGTATCAGAGCCTAGGTTACATAGGTCTCACGAGTCATGAGCAGGTTTAGTAGAGTCTTGCGGATCGGTACGGAGATGTATGTACTTATCTTCGAGAGGCTGCCGAACCCTTAGGAAAATTTAAATTTCTTGTACTCTGTCTTGCAAATTTGTTGATTCCAGAAACTAAATTTTTGTTATTCTATTCTCTCACAGATGGTGAGAACACGTACTACTAGATCGGACAGTCAGTCACCAGTGCCACCGACTAGGGCCGCGAGAGGCCGGGGCCGAGGTAGAGGTCGAGGTGTAGCTCGTACCACAGTTGGACATGCACCTGTAGTACCACCAGTTGCTCCAGCTCAGGAGAAGATTCCAGATATAGCTGAGCCGACAGGACTAGCTTAGGCACCAGTTGTGCCCATCGAGATTCCAGGCGTTCATGAGACTTTGGCCCAGATATTGACAGTTTGCACTAGTCTTGATCAGGTGGTTTTGGCTCAAGCCGCACCAGCCACTTCTCAGGTCGGGGGAGGTATTCATACCCATGTTGCCCGTACACCAAATCAGGTAGTGCAGGGACTTCAGATACCGGGGGCAATACCAGCCTAGCTAGTTGCAGTTGCTCAGGCCCCGGTAGTCCCTGCAATGGTAGATGATGAATAGAGGAGACTTGAGAGATTTGGAAGGCTTCGACCCCTATCATTTAGCGGTGCTGAGTCAGAGGATGTTAAGGGTTTTCTGGATAAGTACCAGCGGATGCTTCGGACAACGAGTATTCTGGAGACCAGTGGGGTCTCGTTCACTACTTTTCAGTTTTCTAGAGCTGCCTTCAGATGGTGGAAGACTTATGAGAGGCGCAGGTTGGTCGGTGCTGTACCACTTAGCAGGAATTCTCCGTTCTCTTTTTGGAGAAGTTTGTGCCGCAGTTTCGCAGAGAGGAGCTGCGTAGACAGTTTGAGAAGTTACGTCAGGATGGTATGTCTGTGATGTAGTACCAGATGAGATTTTCTAAGTTGGATCATCACACAGTTTGGTTGGTTCCCACTGATAGGGAGAGGATTAGGAGGTTCATTGATGGCCTCAGTTATCAGCTACAATTACTTATGACTCGGGAGAGAGTATCTAGTGCTACTTTTGATTAGGTAGTTGACATTGCTCGGCAGATAGAGATGGTCCATAGCCAAGAGTTTGGAGAGAGGGAGGCTAAGAGGCCTCGTGGTCCAGGTGATTTTAGTGGTGTTCCTTCCGGGGGTTAGTTTTACTGCGGTAGGGGTCGTCCTTACAAACACTCTCAGACGGATCGTCCAGTTCACCATAGTGCATCATCCAACCATGGTTCATATAGTTCTCATTAGGGTCAGTCATCTCTCAGTGCCCTGCCAGCCTAGAGTTCGTCCCGTGCTCCTTCAGTTCAGGGTTCATTTGCACCGGGTGCTTCTAGCAGTTATTCTGGTTCTCGGGGACCAATTCAGTTAGCACCACCACCAGTACCGGGGAGCTACTTTGAGTGCGGGGAATTTGGGCATATGTGGAGACAATGTCATCGTCGCTCGGGCGGTCCAGTGTAGTAGAGAAGTCAGACTACGACTTCAGCACCGGTCACTTCACCACCTGCCCAGCCAGCTCGTGGTGGGGGTCAGTCAACTAGGGGTCGCCTCAGATGGGGAGGCCGATCAGGTGGCGGTCAGGCCCGATTCTATGTTTTTCCTGCCAGGCCAGACGTCGTTGCCCCAGATGCAGTGATC